CGTCTCACGGTGACCGTGACGGAGATCATAAAGGTCGTAAAGGTCGCCATTACTAGTGAATGAACCACTGTGTACCTCGAAATCCTTTAGCGCAGCGGGTTCAGCGTGTCCGGGGAGAGTAAAACAGACAAAAAGAAGAGATTAGTTGAGGGCGGGCGAGCGCGTGCCAAGGACCATCTCAAAAGTTCCTAGCGGGCGGCGCCCGCGCATCCAGCGAGCGCACCGGGACAATATAGCACATGCACAGACCGTACGGACAGGTACCAAGATCTGAAGGACAACGTTAACCTTAAAATGTAAAAAATCTAAGCTATTACATCGAATTAGTAATAGAGAAAGATATTGAAGGGCAAAATACTGGATTATAATTCGACATAAGCTGTATATATCAATATATATAGTAATAATTATAAAATGCAAAATCGTTCGAAGACGATACTGTATAATGTTACTGAACTAAAACGTTCATAATGTATATCGATACTGAAATACATATACTGCTATTAAATTAATAAGAAAATTGTAAATAACAAAAAGACGAAATAGGAAAGTTTGAGTGGTCCTTGCATCTGGGTATCTATTATATAATAAAGTTTGTTATAGACCAACTGATACGAGTACTAATTTGGTGGGACGACTGGAAATAAGTTTCTTTTGTGCTGTGTAGAGATACAGCGTAATTATCAATGAATTACTTTGTATATTCGGAATAAATCATAATAAATATTAAACAATAGGTATCAATGTCTTCGTCGGATATTTGAAGCTTCGTTTAATGTATTTAAACAATGCGCTAACGGCACCAATACGATATTGAAACAGTGAAGCATTGCCCCGCACAGTACACGGCCCCTTACCCATAGACTGCCGTACAAATACTTGTACGTCATTCTACAGGTATTATACAATCGTATCAAGAGTTATTCCAAATTAAGCAGAGACATTGACAGACACCTTACCTTGTATTAATGTAATAACGATACCAAAACCATGATGGCAATTTATTTTGGTATATCATAGCAATAGCGTAAATAAGCTGACAAAAATATAAACGGCGGAATAAGCGATGGGACGTACCTTACTGTGGTGGAACAGTAGTCCGACGCCCTCCATGCACACCTTTGACAGTTAAATAATAACAGTATTATTAAATTACATAAACAAAATTCTTCCACTATTGTGGATACATTATAGGCTCATTATAATTTAAAGAAAACCATACGACAAAGATATGCTGTATATTAAATCAGATAAATACGAAAATTAGCAGTTCTTTAACTTTTTGAAAGTTGAACCAGATGTTTATAACAAATAACAGGTCAGGTATATGAGTGTTTTTTTTAGAAATGTCATCTAAAAAAATACATAATGCTAGTACAATAATATATTCCCTTAATATATTGAGATACGAAAAATTCAAATCTCAATTAGACATAGACAGACATACTAATTATATCCTTTATGACGTCCAAGCCTTATAAACCATAAGCGGTGCACGGCGACAAGGAATAAGTATGTACAACTTATTTTAATTATTTTATTACTTACTTAAATAAAAAACAGTCAATTTAAATTTAATATTATTATTTATATTTAAAAAACTACAAAATCTGCTGTATTCCTATCATACACCCGATTACATTAAGAGAAAAATTTCAGTAACAATGGAGTTGTTTGAATATTTATTGCATTTCTTAAATAAACAAATAAAGTGTAATTCTCATGCCTATAGCTTATTACAGAAAAAGTAACAACCCACCAATTATAGAAAAATATTTTGATTTTAGCTCCAGGAAATTCAAGGTAAATTTGAAGTTCAACAGGCGAGTACCTGTATCAGTCCACCCTCCCCTGAAGCGCAGTCCTGTATAGGAAACTCGCCACCTAGTTCGGCTGCATCCTGCCGCCGACCACTCTTCTCCATCGCTTCTTTGATACAATAGTACAACGCTTTGCACTAAAATCAATCACACGAACTCATTAAATGTTGATATACTAATCTTATTTGTACTATATACATATATCTTGTATAAAGTATTTTTATATATATTTTTGCCAGTAAATCTAATACCTTTTTGGTGTAATATTTGTGGAGTTGCGTCTGACCACCGTTCTTCCTCCAAAGGCACAATACACGTATTTTAGGACTATACGTCATGTTAACCAATCGCTCGTACCACCATCTTTCAACAATAGTACCTAAAACGTGTATACAAATAATGAGAGATACATCTGTTTACTATCTATATTAAACCAAAAGATTTTTATTTGAAAAATATTAAATGTTTTTACAATTAAACACTAGTTGACGCTGCCCGCCATTTTGGTGACGTAATTGTTGAACGCAGAATACGACACCAAAATGGCGGCCAGGCAATTTAGGATTATAGAGTGACATACCCTGTGTGGAACGTAACACAAGTCCATCGTCTCTCACTTCGATGAAACGAAGCTCCCCGCTCGCGTCGCCCTCGTGCACGGTGAACGAAGCACGTCGCAACTGACGAGAACCCAAAGGCTTCAGTTCTATGTCGTTGCCGTGCTGGATAAATAAAATTTAGAAATCGTTACCTACGGCACTCTTATTTTTTTATTGCCGCGATAAATAATATTGTTTCGCTCAGAGCCTGCGAACCCTTGTAAAATATAGGTTAATAAAGGTTATATGAACCAGTCTAATTAAACAAATTGTCTAATTTCAAAATATTATTATTTATTTTTTTTTCAATGACACTTGTTTTGTTATTATGAAGACGTCATAAATGAGTATATTTCTACCGATATATGACGTCATAAACTATCAAACCTTAAGTATCACACGGGAGCAATAAAGACAGTTTTAACGTAATAATGAGAGTCAAGAGTTTATTTTGACTCACCAATGTATGGACAACGTCTAACAAGTGGTTAACTTCTTGACTGTAAACAAGTCCGATATGGCTTTTAGCGAGTAACCGTCGCACTTTATTCCTCACTATGTCGGCTTCAACACCGAACAGCACCAATGCCGCCGTGAGATTGTATAGTGCCGTCGATAGTAGTCTGTCTTCTTCATGTTCCAATCTCTTTCGCTCCGTCTCGCTCAGACACTTGTATCGTTCCATCATCTCATTAGCGCCTTGATCCATCCCAATCATATCACGCTCTTGACTCACGGCGTCTAGGAATGCGTCCTCCCAAAATTGCATTTGGTCCCATAAATTTGATCTCTCTTTGCCTAAAATGAATTTATAGAATGATTATTTTATGTTAGCAGCGTTAAAAAGAGCATTTAGCCCTTTTTTATTTTTTAAGATTGAGTTATAATAGCGCCTTAACAGTTTTACTATAAAGTGTATGTGTAATAGGGTATGACGACTTATTTTTGTTCGTTTGTCCGTCAAGTAGATAAATGAAGAATATTAATTAAATACGTATTTTTGCGTAATCAATAAATTACAGCGATACATTGAGTTGAAATGTCTCATGACGTCACGCTTTTGTACATTTTCTACAAAACTGTGACGTAGCGAGCCCTCATTCAACTTCAATGCCTGTTTTCTAAGCCATTTTTTGTTTAAATTGAAACATAAAAATACGTATTTAATATTTTACTATTCTTTGTCTGACGGACTAAATAGAATTCTCTTTTTTTACCCAGTCGTCATCTCTATTGTGCATGGTTAAGCGCAACGGCTCACCAAGAGTGAGTGTTAATATTTGATTGGTAGCTAATACCGAATGGCAATTCGCATTTATGTTCTTTTGTAAATTGATATTTCTAAAGCAAAAATCACTTATGCCTAAGAAACAAAACATTACATTTTTACCTTAGGGCCACCCATTAATTACTTCACTATACTTCATAACCGTCTGTTTTGACCCGTCCTTTTATTTCCATTTTATAGTCAGTTAAAAAAATATTTGATTAGTCCAAACTTAGTTCAACAACGTTTTGTATTAGAGTTTGAAATGTGACGTCACAAAACTTAGTCCCCACCCATTGGCAGTCTTCGCTAGCCCGCTTGACTTGTGAGGTAATTTATAGATGACCCTTTCGTTTAGTTTTTCTTTACCAATGAGTCCTTGAAACAGGTATGTTCTAGCAGTGTCTGGCGACGTTAGGGGTGAGGTAGTGGGCACTCCTGCGGGCGGTCTGTATCCAGTCAGTGAGGACTTGGAGGACGAGAACACACTGGCAGCCCGCGGCTTCCCACCAGCGGACGTGCCACGACCAACCTACACGTTCAAAATTATAACGTATCTATGCCACAATAACCTAACGTTCATTGAATCACACAACGTTAGCATTATTTGATACTATGTGAATTATCATTTTTACGGGTATTTGCTTGATTTAGTTTATAAAACTTGACTTGCTATTAAAATAAAATTGTAACTCGTGTCGTTTTTAACACTATTATGTATGACTCGAGATTTCCGAGTCTAGTGTACTTACAAAATCCGGTATGGTCCAGAGAATTGTTACCATCCCTTATATTTAAGTAATAAGGATACGGTAAATTACGCACAACACAACAGTGTTTAGGCAGCAAATACCATGCATCTCTACTTGGACAATATAGACGACAAATAGCCCATATTTTATTTTGTTAAGTATCAAATTTTGCCAATTGTTTTTAGCCATTTGTCGGATAGCAAAAGCAGATATATAGTAACTACAGGGAACAGTTACACTGCAAATGAGTGCAGATATTTCTTTTTTATATATTTTTATCAGATTGATGTATATTCAATATTTAAATATCTTTTTGTCACACGGATATGACGTCATGTACAAATTCGCTCTGTAAGCAAACGTTCCACATAAAAAAAATGGTAAATAGGATATAGTAAACGTAGGAACTTATCCAGATGCAGAGTAACTCAATACACGGCTTTATCCGTTTGGTAATCAATTTCATATTTATGTCAGTCGATATTGAAAAAGCAATAATTCAATAAAAAATTCATTCTAATGAAATGTCGACATTCACCATAGCAGTGTAAAAGCATAGACTGGCACAACACGCACTAGGACTTACATTGAGAAACATGACATCAGTGTCAGAGAGGTTGGACTTAAAGGAGGCGCGATGGTCGAAATTCGCTCGGTTGGTGGTGATCGAGCCGCTCTCGTCGGCCGAGCAGTCGGAAGAGGGCGCCGCCTACGCACAAAGGGCCCTTTACACTCTATCGGGCTATATTGAAGATCTTGTTCACGGGCTATTCGCGGTTTTGGCCCAACCTTACCTTTTTAGCTGATGTAATGTATACATATAAAAGTCAACTATTTAATATATACGTATCCGGTATGTGTCTATGTATGTAAATATGAATTATAAAGTCAGCGACTGAAACTCTAAACAGATAACGTATACGTGATTTTTAATAACGCGAGCATTTCTTACTAGATTTTCAAGTCAATGGATAGAAATGAAACATTAATACATATTGTATCTGAAATGTTTTCTTTCCAGTCGGCGGCAAGTCTCCTTTACGTAAGATATAAATGAGAAGCTGAAATGTCTATAAAATAATGTAATCCGTATAATAATGTCTACATACAAAACGTAATAAACGGTAAAAAAAACTATTATAATTATCACTAAAATTTGGTTAAATATATTATTTTACAAGCAAAGAAGTTGTTTTGATTTTGATGTTCAATTAAATACAACCTATGAAGAGTACTTTCATAATATAAAGTGTAGGTATGTAAAACAGATTAATGATTTAGGTTGATAAAAAATGTAATAGAGCTGTTAAATCATAGTTCTGGCTATGTCAAAAGAACCCATAATAAAAAGATACCAATACGCGGAGAAGTAACAAACATTTTTATATCATGCTCAAGATAATATATTGTATGAACATCAATACATATAGGTAAATATTATATCAATCTGACAGCACTTTACCATGCAACATTGTAACAACATCAAACACAAACATGAATAACTATTGAAACTTACGTCCGATTCGAATGAAGTTAACTTGCTGAAGAGAAGATTTCTCTTTTGATTCAACATGTCTTTGAACATTTCTGTTGTACTTTGTGAGTCAGCAGGATCCATTTCCGGATAATTCACAATTGGGACATCTAAAAACAAATGTAATTGGAAGTTAAAAATATTATAGAAATCAATAAAGTCATCCATCCATCTATCACGATTTTTACAGTATGTCCAATTAAATGATGAGAATATCGCGTAGGACATTATTTCCTGCCCAATGTTCGGTCTTTTAGACTTTCATAAAATTATCAGTAATAATCTTCCTGTACTTTGATATTAAAAAATGAGTTTGTATCTTATGTATTATTAAAAATAAATAAAGTGATATAAAACTATTTCAGTTTGTATATTATTTTTGTTCTTACCCGTCTGCGAACTTTTTCTTGACGAGGGCGACGATGAAGGTGTATCCAAATCGTGTCTATGGTCAAGTGTGGAACCGCCCATTCCACCGTGTTCGAGTCCCGCGATCTCTTTGCTCCAGTAGTGTGTGTGAGCCATCTCAGCCAGTTGAAATACTGACGCCATTCCACCCAGTCCAAAATTAGAGTAAGTATGCTCGAGACCGTGGACGACAGCTTGGAGAACTTTCAACATACCTTTCCAAACGGGTTTACTCACGAACTGTAAGAATACAATGTAACATTCATTAAATTAGTAGAATTTTTTACTGTTGTTTTATAAGAAATAATGCTATTACTGTTGTAGTTGTTAAAAAATATAAAAAATACGTAACATTTAATTAGTGCTCTTAGCGGACAACTCAGGGAGAGAGAAAGAGAGAGAGAGAGAGAGAGAGAAAGAGAGAGAGAGAAAGAGAGAGAGAGAGAGAGAGAGAGAGAGAGAGAGAGAGAGAGAGAGAGAGAGAAAGAGAGAGTGAGAGAGAAAGAGAGAGAGAGAAAAAATACTAAATACTACGTTATACACGTAAACTGTAAAATGCAAATATAAATCATAGATATCAAATATTGGAACCACCCCCAAAGCAAATAACTTCGTATAACGCCTCCTACCACCGTAAAGAGAACTAAGATTTCTAATACAGAAATATTACACTTAGTTCAATAAGAAGTCGATTCAAGCTTTATGCTTTTTCTTGTTGAGGGAAATGAACTAAAACAAAATAAATCTGTCTTACCACATCGTCAACTTTATCATTTGGAGAAGCTTTCCTGTTGAAGTTTCTGTTGAGTTTACTCAACACCATATTTCTATATGATTCATCCTCCATCAATTTCTTCAGTCGGTTAAGCTTCAGCCAGCCGACGCCTTCGCCTTCCAAGACGTGTTGCACGAGCTATAATATTATCGTTTTTTTCAAGCACTTGTATCAGTCAGATGCAGTATAAAATGAGTTTTTTTTTTATCATGAATTATAGGTCATTGACTTTCAAAAATTAATAATAAGGCATTGCTATAATTTTTAGCTCTCGCAAGAAATTCGCAGTTTTTGTGAACTGCGAATTTCTTTTTTGAATAACGATTGTTTTAATACTAATCTGAGTATCTTAAATGTATCTTAATTTTTAAATCGTAAATAGCTGTTTTAATCACCGTTGCGTGTAAAAAATAGAAAGCTATTCGCTATACGATGATCGTTAGTTTTCAAGAATTGGCAGAAATGTTTTGAACATTGTACAGCCATTTGTTTTAATATTTTCTTTGCTTTTAGGGTTCCGTACTCAAAGGGTGAAACGGGAACTCTATTACTGAGACTTAGCTGTCTGTCTGTCATCACATAAACCGTGATAGTTAGACAAATGAGGTTTTCACAGATGATGAATTTCTGTTGCCGCTATGACAGGGAGTATTAAACAGTATAAAATTAACATTTAAGGAGGCTCCTATAAAACAAACGTGATTATTTAGCTCCTTTTCGGTACGGAACCCTTTGTGCACTTGGCCGGTTAATACCTACTTCCTCATTAAAAAAACTAGATGAATATAGGCAAACGGTATATATAGCAATATGTATGTAAATAACAGTGGTACTGACGTCATTGAGAAAGGCCTGGTTCTCCGAGTTAGCGGTGGACCGTGCGTGGGGCGGGGCGACTGGCGGCGTGGGTGGCGCGTGCCTTATAAGCGGCGAACGGGCCACTAGTCCGCGCGCGCCCTGCGAGAATGGACCGAAACTAGCCGCCAGCGCGGTCGGCGGTTGACTAGAAGCCGGCGTTGACCGACTAGACTCCGCGGGCTTAGCTTGTTTACCTACCCGGAATAATACTATTGAGTATATATTGATTAAATTAAACATTTTTAAACGGTTTTTGTGTGACACGGCTTTCGGATCCTTTACAGTTTCGTTGTTCACATAACTAAGGTGTAAAGACCTTAGTCTTATGTGAACACGGATCCGAAATACAATAAAAGAAAACACAAACGCGATGAAACCGTTTTAAAGTTCTTTCATTTACTGTTGAGTACATTTATCATTGGCACTGCTAGAGAAAGTGTGTTGTGAATAAAGACCTATTATTTCACCTACGATTGCGGATGTAGCCGGGACCCAGAAGAGCTTAAGATACCTTATGCTTGGTCACACATTTCATCAGGCACTGTGAAATTTACTAAATATCTGTAATGGCTAACACCCACGATTGCGGATGTAACCGGGGCCACGGCTTAAAGTACCCGGAAGAGCTTAAGATAACTTATTCACACATTGCGAAATTTGCTCAATATCTGCAATGGCTAACCTGAGCACGGTCGTCGTCGCCTAGTTTTTTCCCTGGATTACATTTCAATTCTGATTACATTTCTGGATAAACATTTTCGAATCTGGCAAAATTAATTAAGTAAAAAAATTGAAACATACGATTATGTTATTTACCGTGTTATTATGTCATAATTACTCTAAGTATGGTAATTCACATTGTTCGAGTATCAAGTTTGATAATTGCATAATTTGCCGTGCCGACCGGACGAATAAAGACTTATTCTTTGTTTTTTAATAAAAAAAAATAATTTAAATTAATTAATTTCCAAAGCGATTCTGGTCAAAAGAAGACGATATTGAAACTTATGTTTTAATATCGACTTGATGTTCAAACACGATTTATGTACTTTTCGCGACCGACTTCCGCTTTGACCTTGAGATAGAGAGCAAAATATCCGTATGCTTGACTATTACTGAATGTGATATATCTCTGAAGCTAATTAAGATAAAGAAGTGAAACTAAGCGAGGTGTTAGGTTACATTACAGAGTATATCACATAATTTTTTTTATAATTTTTAGAATAAAAAATTACATTAAAAAAATAAAAATAAAAAAAACATTTTTTTTTTCTGAGTTCTCTGTGACTTACAATCACGAAATTAATATATGTTATGCTCCTTTGTGTTCTCTATCACCCATAAAAATTGCGTGAAAAAAAAGTTGGTGCAACACAACGAAAAAAAATTATATGTGATTCGCGCCTTGTAGTGTGAGTGTATAAACAAACAAGTTCGAACTTGTTATCGAGCTGTTTACTGCATCGTTTGTTTAGCTAAAGTAGCAGTCATTTGTATTACACAAGAAGGCAGTTTGGGACTCAAATTTCTGTCATAGGTATTTTGTATCAGCATTTTGAAATCATTAACTATCGAACCAAATCATTATTAAGTAATAATGTCGAGAAAGTGTAAAAATTGTTACAAGTACCTGTGTAAGATTCCTGGTTATAAAAAAATTATAAGAGAATGAAGAAGAAGCTAAAGTGTTTAGTGACTGTTTGAATAAAATCGTAATAGTTAATGATATTTTATGTAAGAAGTGTCGACTTATCCCATATATTAACAAAAAAGCTTCTACTTCTAAATGTGCGAGCATTTAACCTTGGCCGAAATATTGGACGATCAAAATAATCTCTAAGTACAATATGTGAAATCAGCACCTAATATCATCAAAGCAGAAGTAAAATCAAGACATATAATAGAAAAGTCTATCGAATTTACATTCACTATATTTCCGACGGTAATGACTACAATAGTATTCTTTGTTATTGCTGTGATTGCCCCAATGGCAAACGTACAGTGGGGATGCTGTTCTCATGTAGCAGCTATTATTTATTATCTATCATATGGATGACATTTGTCCAAAATCGTACGTCCTGCTGAGGTCCTAACTAAGTTATTTGCGACTTAAAGTGTTTCCGATTGTAATTAATTACAACAGTGACGATGATTAATATTTGGTTTCTTGTATTTTGATTGACACGAAAAAGTAATAATACTAAGTATTGAACACTGGCTGTTTTTTTTTCATTTCTTTTTTAACTATTATCCCATCTCTTAGGACTAGTTACTTATGTTTTAAAACAAGCTGATGTGAAATTTCGAAAAAAAAAACAATGATGTAATGTGGAAAACCTTATAATACAGGGGTATACCATAAGACAGAAATCACATATAATTTTTTTTCGTTGTGTTGCACCAACTTTTTTTCCACGCCAATTTTTTATGGGTAATAGAGCACACAAAGGAGCATAACATATATTAATTTCGTGATTGTAAGTCACAGAGAACTCAGAAAAAAAAGCATGATTTTTTTATTTTTTATTTTTTTATGTAATTTTTTTATTCTAAAAATTATAAAAAAATATATGTGATATACTCTGTAATGTAACCTAACACCTCGCGTTAGTTTCACTTCTTTATCTTAATTAGCTTTAGAGATATATCACATTCAGTAATAGTCAAGCATACGGATATTTTGCTCTCTATCTCAAGGTCAAAGCGGAAGTCGGTCGCGAAAAGTACATAAATCGTGTTTGAACATCAAGTCGATATTAAAACATACAGTTTCAATATCGATTCCCATTTGGGGGCCGACTCGTCATACGTATCCGGCCTGCGAAAAAGAATGCTAATTTATTTTTAGATAGAAAACTACCTTTATTGACGTGCAATTTCTAATTAAATTATTAATACGTATATCATGAAATGAAGTATAGTGGGGTAAGCAAATACTGCTGTTTAGATCAAACCATTCTAGATAGTTTAATTTACTTAAAATCTACGTGATTTGAAAGCGATCACTCAGTGGTTACTGATACCTGACCAAAGGGAGCAAACATTTTCTTTTCTTCCCCATCTGTCACTTTTCCTTTCTTTGATTCGAATACATAAAATACAACAATAATTAAAAACAACATAAAGAAACTACGAAACAAAATTGATTCATAAAATTTACCTTGTCCATGTGCGCAAGTAGACCCTCTTGGCTACTTTGACGTGTAGTTTCACGTACAAGTTCTTTGGCTTGGGCAGCAAATTGTTCCAAAAGTGAAGACTGCGAGGCTTGCCTTGAGACTCCACTACTCGTACTCTAAATACGGAATCGTTTGTAACGTATATGTAAAACATATATATATCACTATATTTATGACTATATATATAAATTAAAGCTCTTTGATTATAACACAAGCAAATATTTATGATATACTAACGATTTAGATATTGTTGATACTCTAGAATTTTAATGAGCAAATACATAAGCAAATGGCATAAGTGATATTCGATTTTCATTTATGGAAGGTTATGTTATGGTAGACAAAGTGTAGAATTAATGACGAAAACTGTGGAGAAGATAATGGCAGTATTAAGGGTCAGGATTATTTTACTAATACTGCAGAATGAGTTTAATAAACGATGACGTTCTTGCTACCTTTTTAAATCATATTTACGTAATCGTCATTATATATGCCGTGTTAAGTTCTAACAGAAATCATAGACACATAGCAATCATGTTAAATATTTTGTGACCGCAATAAATGCTGGTAAAGTGATATCAGGATTTTATCAATTGTCAATCACAGTATGTCACTCGCCCTTTCATTAGCCTGCCTCGGGGTGTAGGTCCTAGATGATGGAGAGCCCGGCATTCGTGCAAAAGGCACATTTATTTATAATTTAAATTTTCTTAAAAAAATACATTTTGAATTATGAATTTTTATTTAAATGACAAGCGCAACTGACTCTGATGGCCGTTTGAGAACTTAACCGACCCAAGACTTGTGGCGACTGATACATAGCGACATCTAATTCATCGCAATCACATCGCCACAACAATCGATAGCGAGAAGACTAGCATCGTCACAGCCATCGATAGCAAGACGAACTGCAATAAGTTTCAGCAGCAAGTAACGAGATGGCGCTGTACCAATACAAACAGCATAAATTAATAACTACAAGACATTTAGAACAAAGAAACCTTCATCGCACAGAATAATTTGTCTCCATCACCACAGGGACCACACATACAATCATACGGTTCCTAAAGACTGATTGTCTAATTTAAAAATTGATTAGATTCTCCTTCAAAGGTATAGCGATTGTGATAACGATTTATAGAATTATATAACTTTTAAAGTTGCAATCGCATTTGGAACAAATGAAAATTCGAATTTAAACATAATAAAAATTTAGCTAAAGCCATCGAAAAGATTGCAGTTACCATTAAAGTCTTTCTCAACAGCTTTCAAAGTATCTGCGTATAGCATTTGCCTTAAAATATCCCAAATATGGTCAAATTAACAATATCGTTCATTCAATATCTTAAAAAACTCGCGTTCGCAATCGCATATCTTTCAAATATTAAATTAACATAAGACATTGAACCCCTGATCAGGACCCAACCATCAATTGCGTCACACGAAATTGTAATATGGGTATAGCGATAAACGAAAATAAATTCATACAATTTTTTGTGGTAGTGATTAATATAATATATTTATTATCTGTAATCACCAGTGGTCGGAATTAGGTAGAGTTATTCATGTACTTACACTGATTTCATACAGCGAAAGAATAAAGTGGATATGCCTCAAATTGTAAATTTGTATTGTAAATTAATGTAAACTAATAAAAATTTTATGTTAATTATCTTTGTTTTATTTGTCTATCTCTGACGTTATTATTATTTAGTTGTAAGATTGTTGGCCACACGGGATTGTCCATTAGAAATCCCCGGGAAGGTCCACATTAATATCAACATTTCGATGCAAGTACATAAATAACTCTACCTAATTCCGACCTCTGGTAATCACACTTAAATGCTTATTATATTTATAATATTGCTTAAATTAATTATGAAAGAACTAATATTATATGCGCGTGACGTCACGACCTTCTTACTCATATCAGTGACGTCATAGCAACGCCATGAAGGAAGTGGCGTTATTGCGGGAAATTTTGAAAATTAAATTTATATTTAGATTTTAACTTATTATATGAATGATATTTTTTTTTAGATATATTCCATGATCAATAAAATAAAATTTAAAAAGTTATTTATTATATACGAATTCATATTTAAATCCCCCACCCCACCCCTCTCCTCTTGTTGTGTGACGTAATTTTTGGATGGCCCCACACTTGACTGACCTTAACGTGCGAAGTGTGCGAAGGTGGCAGTGAATGGTGCGAGGGTGTGAGGGCGCGGTCAGAGTCGCTAGTGCTAGTGCTGTCGGCGGCAGCGCGTTGCCGGCTCACCACGGTCTTCGGCGTCGTGGTCGAATTCGAATCCGATTCGCGACCGAAACTACCGCTGTCCGTATCCTATACCAGTGACCGTGTTATTTGAATGAGGAAGTATTTAAATAAGAAAGCACGAAAAAGCACCTCACTAGATGGCGACTCTAGCAAAAGTTTATTTTTGCAGGAAATTAATGAACTAAAGATAGTAATTTCCGTTCCTTTTCCGTTAATATGTTAGATATTAAAAATCTGAAATTTGCAAAGTTCGAAACTTAGATATTAATACAAATAAGAAAAAGTACAAATAGAATATGAGTTGCTTATTGAGTTTTGAAAATTTATTTATACATGAAAGAAAATCGGAAGGGTTGTCATGAAGAAATCAAGAAAGTACCGTGGCGACATCTAGTTTGTTTTCAGGAACAAATGTTTTTTTAATACTTCTTCATTGATACAAACTATTCATCACCTTTAGTTTGTGCAAGTGCGAGTGATTAACTTAGGCGGTAAGGAAAGGAAATGTCCGAAGTATTTTTAATTGTGTAACAATATTCAACTCTTTCAAAATAATAAAGCGATTTTTGAGGAATTGGATAGTTATAAACTGTTTATATTACTAGGACGAATTAATATGTCACCTGGCTAGGATGACGTTTGTCCAAAATACAGAGTGCAATAAAGTTATTTTTTCGAAATTAATAATATATTTTGTAAAAAAAAAACAAGTAAAAGATAGTAAATCATTTTATAATAATAATAATTTTTATCTTTAGAAAAACTCACCAAAAAAAGTCCATAAATAAAATTCGATAAAAATAATAACAGCAAGAGAATATCTCTGAATTTTGAAAGTGCTCAGAGTTATGCTATTGCTACTGAGCTTGCATGGCGGCGGCGGAACGAAGTGCTGAGTAGCGTGGGAATACGGAGCTCTAAGCCAGATGTTTTTACTACATACTTTTATTTATTATAAAGAGGTTTTCTTGTATGGTCAAACTAGTTGCGATAAGCAACACAACATAAATCATTTTTTTCATATTAATTTAAAAATTGCATAGCATTATATACGTACGCTTTTCTTCACTGGCGGAGGATGTGTAGCATCTACATTATGATGAGCATCTCTGTTGACTTGTGCGTCATCGTCAGATAGGTCGCTGTGTTCCGAACTAGAACCCGATGGTGAGGGAGAGGTGGAAGCGCGCCCTCTCTCTCCCTCCGCTACTTCTTCGACTTCACCGAACATAAGCGACGACGGAGGAGTGTAAACCTGACGAAGTAATAAGTTAATTAATGATGTATAATTTATTCAAAGATGACTTAAATGAGTTATTTTGCTCGAGCTTAATGAAATATAATGTCAATAATTATCTAATTAACCGGAATCGATTTTTAAAAGACGAGTATAGTTTTTGTCGTCAAAACATATTTAATTACATCAGTAAGATAAAAAAGTAGAAAAAATTGAAAATATTTTTGTTTATTTATATGTAAAAATTCAGTAAACAGCGATGTAGACTTTAGGTAATTTTATTTACGACATTCCCATAGTCAGATATATCAGTTATTATTCTATACAACAAATGTAATGTTACGTAGGAAAGATATCAAAGTATGATAAAATAAATATATTAAAAATATCCAAAGAAATCTACAATATTTGGTTTACCGTTTTCGGGTCTAAAGACGACGATAAAGTCATTGGCACTTGTACAACTGCGCTATATGTTTCTCCAACAACATGTTGATGAGCATTTCCACCTAAAAATATAAGTAATTAAGTGTTGTTTCTAACAAACCATCTCCAGACTTTATTAATTTGAATTACCTGGCGAAAGATCAGAGGACACCATTTCAGATACGAAATCACTCAATGAAGAATACGAGGAACTTGTACTTTCCGCAGCATCGGAGTCGGAACCACTTTCATCTGAATAGAGAATTGTTCTCATGTGAATGTATCCTATTTTATTTAATTGCGTTAAAAAGTCTATATATAACCTTCATGTCCAGTTGCACAAACGTCTATTAAAAGTGTATTAAGCTGTTTTTTGCCTTATATGTGTTATGTAAACAGTTCTCTGTTTGCAGTGTTAGCGTTTTGTTTTTAAGAGCTAGTTTGCTTTTAATAATACATTCAATAGATCTTAAAGTAGTTATTAAACATTAATATCTTACCAGTAGGTTGATTCTCTTGTCGCTGCAGCTGTCTCAATGCTCCGTTCAATGAACTACCATCATCCCAAACCGCAAAACGGATGGGTTGCAATTGATCAGCAAACCATTTGGGTTTGTCTCCAATTTGTCGTGGGTCAAAAACACCAGTTTGAACTCTCAGAAAAGCAACATTGCAAGGAGTCAGTGACCACTCGGCGAGAAATTCCACTGCCTGTAAAGATAATTATTGTTATCCACCAAGTTGAGTTTATAATTGTGTCGTAAAATATGTGATATTATGCTTTAATACCTGAGTACGAGCAAATTTATTTAAAAACAAAGTTGTCCTAGGCCGAGATCTTAGAAAGCTATTGATTTGGAACGCAACCACAGGCCTAGGGTAGAGCCGCAAAGTTCGAGTATGTTCCATAAAATTTGCCAATATATTTTGCGAGTTAAAAAACCGCACCTGGAAATAAAGGTACAATGAAAAATACTGATTTCAATACGACACAGATACACATAAACTGTACTATGGTAATAGAAATGGAAACGATGTGATGAGAGAAATAGAAATAAATATAAGAGAAACTTTTGTAGCTTTATCATTCCTTGTCTTAATCCTTTTATACCTATTTAACTTACAACCTTTACAACGCAGGCTATATGTAAATCATTCATAATCCATCTCTCTCGCATAGTGGTCATGACGCGCACCTCTTACGTGAGTGTTTGAAACTTATTAAAACAAAGTGCAAAGGGTATCCTCTCTACTATCCTGACCTTGTAAATACCTTAAGTTGCAATTTACCTTTTCTTTCTTTCGAAACATCTAACTCTCAAATAATTTCCGCTAGCAGCTTCCCTCATGTGGTTTACTCGACGGCTGGATAGGACATTTATCCCCAGGGAACCGTTTAGCGACATAAAAGTAGCTTATATTAGGTTAGCTTATATTCAGGCTTATATTAGGTTGGGGAAAAAGTTTTTTCGCATATAGTATTCATAAACTTGTAATGAAATCTTTCTGGTTATACTATTTGTATCTGGCTGGTTTCGGTAATATTAAAAAGTTTAAATTTTAAGAAAGATAACTCTGAATTTAAATTAAGAAAATGTGTGATATTCGTTTGTTTTCTTATTATTAAAATTAGTGAATCTAATGAAACATTTTCAAAAATTATTATAAAAAAAGTGAAAATGCAAGGCAAGCCGCGAAATTTGTGACGTTTATGGATCTAGTGCAGTTTCCGTGAGAGTAGCACATATATGGTTTAAGCGTTTTCAGTCCAGAAATTTTGATGTCAAAGATGCACATCTCTCCGGTAGCCTGTTACGGATAAAATGGAGGCCATTTTGGCTTTTTCCGTGTTACTTTCATCTACCCACCCTGAACCCCGTTCAGGGTGAGTAGATGATGGAAGTCACTTTTGAATGTTCTTCTGATTTTTTACCCCAAGTACAGTAGAATAATATTGTCTACTACACAAAAGCTTCTATCGTGTATTTATAAAAATCACATTTTCATTCAACAAAATAAATCATTTCTTTTTCAATGTTAGGTACTGTAACGTCCGAGCATATTACTATAGGCAGGTTTACTCTTCGAACGGTTTATGGTCAAGTGCTGGCCGTTAATATTTCAAATTATTACTTTTCGTATTCGAATTCGCGTGTTCGTGTTTTGCTGGTGAATAGTCTTTTTTTCTGATCGAGACCAGCTTAGAGTGAGCATCATAGTTTTTGGTTGTAAGTGTGCTAATGTAATTCTAATTTAAAATAAATCGAGACCAAGGAATCTACCAGTTTTTTCATTGCGCCACCCACCTCCACCATTAGACTAAGTTGCCATAGTACCAAGTATATAGGGCTGGGTTTTTACATCTTACACGCGTTTCAGAGTATCAACCTTAGGTGGTTATTTCAGGGTGGAAAAACGGTATAAGCCGCCATTTTTGAAAATATGGAGCAAGAACTGCATACCAGTAGTAATGATGTAGCTGAAGAACTGAGGATTTTGAAAAAAGCTGGGTACACAAAAACGTTGGATATTTGGGTATCTCCCGAGCTCACGGAAAGAAACCTAATGAACCGTGTACTTATTTGAGATTCATTATTGCGGCGTAATAAAATTGAACCATTTTTAAAGAAGTTGATAACTGTTGGTGATAAGTGGATCGCGTACGACAAGAACGTGCAAAAAAGGTCGTGATCAAAGGTCGATCAGGCTTCACAGATTTAAATTTTAATTAAACATTTATTAAAAATGTTTTGAATTTTCATATAAAATGCGAAGAAACTTTTCCCCGAACCTATTAATTATCTGTTTAAAAATCACTCGTTTACCAAATACATCAAAATACATTCAGCATAGTGAACAAGACAATTTAGCCTCACAAACTCGAATTACAATATTATGATGGTATACTCACCATAGCAACGCGCGTGGCGACATCTACAGAGTCAACATCGTTGCCGTATATAAGCGGATTGAAAGGTTGCGGCTGATGATGCGGTGACGCGAGGGATAGTCGTTGGGGCGTGTGGCCCGCACTAGCCGGCGTGGGCGACGTACTGCCTACAGACACACGCCGGCTCTCCGGCGTACTGTGCGACCAGGTGCCGTCCGACCGGAACGATGCCTGATGCACTCTAACGACACGATAATAAGGCTCATTTACGGTTAAGAGGACGTAACGTATACCTTTGCACATTTACAGGTTCTTGATTCGTCAATAAACTATTGAGTTAATAACGGATTTAAGAAAATGAATGACAGAAATCACCCGCACACCGTATGTGCCCGCCAATCAATCAATATGATGAGTTTATACGCATGACTGACATGATAAAAGGTAATATGGCGGGATCGATCCTTATTTTTTTTTTTGTATTACTAATAGTTTTATTCATATATACCTCTAAAGAAATAATATTGAAATTAGGTATTTAAAGTCGAATAAAAAATTTGAGGGAAGTCGTTCCATCCAAAAAGAATGACAGCTTTATATGATAAAAACTATTTCTGTTTTTTTATGGTTGCATTATTTTTTTCTATTTATATTATGAAACCCATGAGTTCCCTGTGAGGTATAATCAATCCCAACTATTATATTTAGATTATAGGGTCTTTCAGGTAAAATATAAGCACTAAGAATAATATTGTAACCATGAGTCCTTACTTGAGTGTAGCACCGCCCACGCTATCTCTTCTAGATGGCATCAAAAAAGCGTTCGCCTGATCCGCAGAAGTGTTAGTTAAGCTGCTCAGAGCCTGACGAAAACGTAATAAATTAGAACTAGTCACATGTCTACATAAAAATAATATATAAAAAACTGTTTAGTTAAAACATGAAATAAAATCCGAATTTTCTTTTGAATTTACCAGGTTATTATTAGAAGCATAACATTTTAGAAGACAAATGTTATTTATATAATTAAAACATTAAAACTATGCAACATTTTAAGTCCCATTCATATAACAACTACAATAATTATATAATTACTTAAGTATATATATTTATTTTACTGAAGTAAAACAACCAAATGCACTACGAAACTCCAAGCAAAACCACTCTCAACTTCCATAGCAGCATTTATAATAGCACCACAAGACAATCGAACCGATACATGCCGCACTCAGCGAAGAATTTGACTGAAATTGTGTTAGCCCCCGTGATACAAATAAATACATGTGAGATGTTAGAGGTAGGTAGGTATTGTAGAGTGTATGAAGCATAAGATAACACTTATTTCAGTCAGCTTACTTAAAAGCTAACTTTCAAAATAGTGACAATTGGTGTTAATATTTTGTAACGAATTGTGTTAGGAAAAAATAAATGTAAGAGTTTTATATACATACAGCCGGTTTCTGAATTAAAAAAGTACAAAATCTCAACTAATAATTCTCATTAACTTAAGTTTATTACGTTTCACAAGTCAAAATGTCCTAGTGTCATGTTAGCTGCAGTCAATGAAAATAAAAATAAAAAAATCTGAAACGAAAGTAACTTTAAGTGATATTTATGTACAGTTTGAGACGTTTTAAATTAAAACTTAAGTTTATGACAATAATTAGTTGAGATTTTGTACTTTGCTCAATACAAAAACCGCGTGATAGACACTTTATTTTGAAAGTGTAGCTTTCGCATCACCATATTTGAGCAAATAGGTAACAAGTACTGAGTGATTCAAAGTCAAAGTGTGCAATGTAATAAGAGAGTGGTAATATTTACACCAGTTCCGGCACTTCCCATGAGGTGCACCGCCTAGTGACGACAGGAAAGTGAGGTTGAATGTTAGTGAAGTTAATCAAGTAAGTCGAACAAGAGGACAAGAATAAAGAATTCGTGCTGGACACAAGACAAATAAATTATTTTTTTCACACATAGTTAATAAAAAAGTTTTAGCTTCTTAAAAATATTGCGTTACTAGTCTATGGTTAATGAGATAGAGCATGTCTGATGTTGATTTTTTTAAACATAACAAAAAACTGTGAATATCAAATTAGAAGGTTGTTATTTTTAACCGTTTTCAAAAAAGAAGATTTTAAATTTGACTGTATGTTTCTTATTTAAAATATTTATTTGTCTTTGTCCTAAGACCAATGTTGGCTGTTTGTTAAACACCTATAAAAATAACTGTAGGTCAGGAATGCAGACACCGGACATTGCAGCTTAGCTTAGCGACATCGAGTACAATGGGCTCACGAGTGCATGTATAAGATAAAGATAAAGTGAGATCAAATTCAAGGAATGAAAATATTGAATAAGATCCGTATATAAAATCATTTTTGATATACCTGTTTCAAATGATTTTTTAAAACAGAACCTTCTGGTTCCGGTAATGGCGGCAGTTCTTGGTCATTTCCAGAAGGGGACACTAATTTTGTAGCGTCCAAATCAACGAGCCATATATCATCAGGTAATCTGTTAACAAAGTGCATAAAACATTTTAGCTGTCCTAACAATACCATATTCTTATATTTTTTTAACAGCAATTAAAAACATATGAATAATCGTAGACGAAAGTATCTCTGAAGTGTGTTCTCATGAAGTTTGCTGAGGTGCTACGATAAATAATATTAATAAATTTATACCATGTCACTTGGTTTATGGTTGTCGTTATTAGGTACAGATCATGTGACACCTTTAAAAAGTGTAAAAAAAAGTCTAATAAAACTTTGATAGCAAGTATAACGTTGAATCACCTACCTGAAGTTTTTCTTGTACGTCAGGAAAGTAGCTGGTATCCCGATAAGAAATGGTGTGGGCGCGAGTAGTAGCTGCTCAGCACAACTCATACAACTGGGCAATAACGGTATAGCGGGGAACATGTACTCGAGCGGGTACAACATTGCGACTAACGCCATCACTGACATCGACAATGCGTTGTAGTCACGCGACTGTACCACCACTTTATTTTCCAGGAGTATCAAAGTCAGTACTTTCAGGCATGTGTCTACGCCTGTTGATGATAAAAAAATATTTATTAAATTATTATTATATGGAATGTTATTATAGGCAAAATTTAACAGGCATGGCTGAGCTCATGGGATGTTGGTCTTCAAAAATCGGTTTTAGAAAAATATAAACTGTTATGTGTATAAACAGTTAGTTACTTAAAAAGATAAAACAAAATTAATTGTATATTTACCTAGAAGCTCCAAAGGCAAATGTAGAGGGAAATCGACAAGGGCGAACCGCGTATGATCTGGTAACGCGAACAGTAGCGGCGCGTGCGCAGTTGGCGATAGTACTTCCAGCTCTATCCGAGTTTTCCCCGGGACGGGGACTGGCGCTGACAAGAGACGGAGAATCCAAGTTTCTATCTCCTTTACATCGTGTAATACGATGGTAGGTGTATTGTCATATGCTTGACCCGTTAATACTGACCATACCGTATCCCTGCGTAAGATAATAGATTTCTTAATATGTTTCGATTGTTGTATATTTTGTTTTGTTAACTAATATTAGTTACCTAAATATTTGTCTGGACGCTCCGACGCGTCGTGGACTGGAAGACTCATTGCAGGCATCTATTAATTTCTTTAGGATAAATAGGCACTCTCGGAACGTCGAAAAGAAAGGGTGATGTGAAAGTAAACATAGAGATGTCAAGGAATGATTTCGCACCCGCTGAAACAAAAAATAAACTGTTATTGTGAATTCTTTGATTTAATTCGAAATTAAAGTAAACTTTAAAGACATAATTTTTAACACATTAATGACACTTCACTTCTTAGCTATTCGTTGTTTGATTGAATTGTAGATATCAAAGACATGTTAAGTAAACAAATATAATAATCGATTCGAGACAAAAGAAATTTAAAGATATTTCTTAATGGTATATGAAATGTTCAGATGTGTACCATCAAATTAAAGCCCGGTCATTAGCTTATTCAGCAATCAGGTTATAAGTAATATCATCTCTATATCTGAACATCATCATCATCATCATCATCAGCCCTTTTACGTCCCCACTGCAGGGGCTCAGGCCTTCCTTATGGATGGTTAAGGAGGATGGGCCATGACCCTCCACGCTGGCCCAATGCGGATTGGACGATATTAACGACTGCAAATACAGCCGGGACCAACAGCTTAACGTGCCTTCCGAAGCACAGAGTAGCTCGAGATACTAATTTTTTGGTCACCCATCCCGTGACCGACCCATGCGAGAGTTGCTTAACGACTACGATCGCGGGCCGCGGCGCTTATCCACTACGACACCGAGCTACTTATATCTGAACACAATCTATTTATTATATTCATCTATTTTAATATCTTCATGTTTATCTTAAGATGTCTCCGCCTATTATTTATCCTTCCCCAATGTACTTATCTTCAGTTTTCTTCTCCGCCATAGGTGTTCTGGAAGAGATTGCTGTTTAACTATAAAACCGCCTTTTGTTTACACTATTTATTTTTAATATTACTGCGTTATTTTGAGTGCAATTAAGTGTTTATTATTATTAAACTAGTAGGCCCGGCGAACTTTATTCCGCCCAAGAAATATGAATGTAAAAATATATAATTTTTTGTTTCCTCCTAACAATGAATGTGCAAATTTAGAATTAAGCGGTAATCTAAAATAAATCATAGACATAGACAACATTACGTGAACTATTATTTGTGTTTTATTATGACATATCACTACATTTTGAGTATTTTATTAATATTATTGTTGATAAAATATAACATTATTATATTTAAACAATTTTATCGATAGTTTAAAATATTTGTTAAAATATTTCTTTCGGCTATTGGGGTGGATTGCCTCAACATTGATGAAAAATACGCTTTGTTGTAGTAGCGAAAAAGTAACAAGTGTTTGAAAATTCGTCAGTCCGTTTAGAAATTAGAGCAGTCACCCAGATTGCGAAAGGGTGAGGGTTCGAATCCCATCTCAGAGTAACGAGGACAAAGTGGATTTTATAAGCATTTTTATTAAAAAAATAAAATAAAATTTTAATACTTATTATCCTATTCCCGGCGAAGACAAATAAAAAAAACATAAATAATATCATAAGAACTGGTGCAGCCGTTCTCGAGTTATAAATGGTGTAACTAACACAACCTTTATATATATAGTATAACCCCGATTATCGTGCGGATCCTCGTTGTGCGTGCGGTGTTATAATCCCCGCAAATTGCTAATGCGCCAGGCCGTCATTTTGATAACGTAGTTGCGTTTAAAAACCCGTACCGTTAACAAATAAACACTGGTTGACGAGTATATTTATTGAGTTGAGTTGTGTTGAGTTTGCACATCATTTTTGTTGGTTTCGATTGTCATTGTTAAGTTTTGTTGTTACTTGTTATGGTTGACTAAAATAACAACTGCTATTATGATTTTCACAATAAGTAAACATAATTTCATTTATAAAAGATATCTAAGGTCTCTCATTTTAATTATTTTTATTGGTTATGTTTGAAAAAAAATATCCTTTCAGTTTTTTATCGCGTTAGTACAAAGTAAATGTTATTTTTCATTTTCCATATACCTCAATATTTACATAGTAGTTGATTATTTTCCAAAAATTCATGCCATAAATTAATAACCTAAAAGTTATTAAATTATTACAACAATGTTTTGGGGATTATTCATAAATGTTTCAATAATTAATTTCTTGCCTTTTGTGCTGTCTATAGTTTCTTATTGTTAGGTGTTATTTAGACAAGGGACTTATATCCAATGCAACTCTGATAATTTCGTACATAGTCGTCACCAAAACGCATAAAGTCGTTATTTCTCTTTGGAGGTAAGTACTAGAAAGAATACGTAAACGAGAATCATTGAAGAAAATAGCATCTGAATTAGAAGTTAGAGAAGTCATAGTAGAATGCATTATATAAAAACCTAAATCTGATTAAAAATATTATTTCATTTCAGAGTAGTTTATTAAAGTCCGTAATATACGAGTTTTTGATTATCCGAGGCCAGCTTGGTCCACAATAGCTCGGATAATCGAGGTTCTACTGTATATAGATTACTAGCTTTCCGCCAGCGGCTTCACCCGCTTCATTCATAGCATGACACAGATATAATTACAAATTGAATAGTAAACAATGATTGCTGTTATCATAGCATAGTTTTTCATACATATATTTTTGGTATCTTGAACCGTTTTCGCAGCGCACGCAACGGAAGCCCTCAAGGATGAATAATTTTCGCCGTTTTTTTCGCATTTTCCATTATTTCTTTGCTACTAATAATTGCAGCGTGATGTTATATATCCTAAAGCCTTCCTCGATAAATGGTCTATTCAACACAAAAAGAATTTTTCAATTCGAACCAGTAGTTCCTGAGATTAGCGCGTTCAAACAAACAAACAAACTCTTCAGCTTTATAATATTAGTAAAGATACCTGTCGTTTTCTAGTGGCCCGCGGGCTGGGCGAGTGACTGCCACCGGACTCGGAGTCTGGTGCGGTGGCGGCGGCGAGCCGTGGGCCCATCGCGCTGCAGTCCGAATCGCTCGGTGCTACGTTGCTGCTCCTATAGTCACTGAAACAAACGTTACGTCTAACTCTACCACATAAGAGACTCCATCAAGAGCTCTACAAATACTTTTATTTTTAATAAAACATAGTTATTTCTTTTTTTTCAAAGCTTGTAAAGAGTGTCGTCATTATACCTATTTATATATTTCTATTTATGTTTGCTGCATATATGTATCTGTATGTAAGTTTATTGATATTGGGTTATGTTTTGTATTATTGGATTATGTATTGTTATACTATGAACAAGTTTTAATTTTGTTACGTTCTTATATTCTACTATACCGCCATCTTGTTTGTCATTTTCCCAAAGGTTGATTTGGAGAGAACACTATAAGCATTAAGTACGTTTTTTACACAATATTTAAAGCGTAATAAATAAATAACAATAAAAAATAAGAATAATTTACTTCAGAATAGATCTTAAGCTATATACATAAACAAATAAAAATATTTTTAAACTCTAATTAAAATATAGTTTTTATTCCACTAAACATTTCCCTAGGGTCCACGCGGGCGAAGCCGCTGGCGAAAGCTAGTATTAAATAAAAGAGAGCAATTTACTGAACTGGTGGTAGATTACGGTAGCCAGGGGTAAGTAAATAAGTCAAATGTATTTTATTTAATAATTGATTTTAATAAATATGATCGTTGCCAGAAAATATATATATTTTTTAAATTGTGTATGTGTCCAAATAGTATTGATTTGAAGATAGCTATACTCATAATTAAAAAGACAATCAACACCTAAGTCTTATGTGAACACGGAACATGTAAAGTGTCTGAAACGTCGATAAAAATAAAAGAAATCGATAAACATCTAAAATTTTACAATAAATTAACATAATATAGTCTAATACTTTATAACAAAAAAAACACTGAATAAAGAAAATAATATTTATATATATTTGAGACGTTATTGATATAAGGTCTATCTGTCATCTGTCGTCAGTCTAATCCTTGCCTATTAGTTGTCTTTAATAAGGCCAGCACGTCTGTAAGTAAGAAGTTTACAACATTCTGACTGATGAAACTGAGTGTCATGTAATAATTTGGTTTGCAAAGAACACTCGATTCATGTTTATGGCAGTTGTATCAAAGGTGTAAATTGCCATAATTAATGCCAAACTGCACTATCGGATGGCGGATGTGGACGAAATCACACAGGGAAAATAGGAAGTTACCATAGCATCCATCACGGTTCCTGCGAGAATGATAATGACATGTTGTGGTCAGCTTTCGAATGAATGCCAACTTTGGGCTAACCCAAATCGCTACCTGATATTTCCACATGATATTTTTGTAGAAAGAACCGTCAAGTAGACATTTAACTGAAAAATTGAATTGACTGTCTAATTATAATAATTTGTATCCTCAATCTTGATTTTTATTGCTGGACTTTATTTTGCATGAATTGATGAATGTTATATAGGATTTCTCTATTGGTCCTTGCAAAGCTTATATTTTTTAGTAAAGACAAATTAAAATGAAATGAGGTTCAGTTTTTTGGCATTCCACTGGGGTTTCCAAAAATTTTTGATAATCTCCATGGTCCTCAAGTTTAGGTGAATATGTGTACCTGGAGAAGGCGGAGTCTGAGCTTTTCTCCATAGATTTGCGCCAGGATTCTCGTCGCAGCACGCTTCTTTGCGGGCCCGGCGCAGCGGCGCGTTCCACCGCACGGTAAAAGTTGACACAGATGCCGTATCGCGTTTTACCTTTATATAGGTACACATTATTATTCATACATAAAATATACTCTAGGCTTTTTTTTATACCACTGAAATTTGGAAGAATAGATATGTAAAACTATAGTAGAATGTAAATTAAACAAGCCCTTACTTGAAACTACCCCGTGTGGTCAAAGGCGATGAGATATTTTTAAATATTTTTTTTTGCACGCTGTACTTTGCACAAACTTCATTCATTTTTCTGATGAAATTATTAAACTTTGTCATAAAAACGATTTTATTAGATTAAACTCACCCGAGTCTTTGTCAGTAAGTGTGAAGACGAAGGAAGTAGTGTCCCTTGCAGCGAGATGTCCGGGCGCGCGGCGTGGACCCACTGAGACACAGCCCTCTGGCTGGCAGAAGTACACCATGTCGAGTGGTAGTGGGAAATCATCATGGTTCGTCAATGGGTACCGTCGGAGAAGTTCAGGAGCCTGAATTTTTTACATATAATATTATATTTACCAGTAACTTTTACAAATTACAATAGGTACTTATAGAAGATGTAAATTTCAAATGAGTTCGCACTATTCAGGATTCCGTTTGTTCCGTTTGTTACCGATACTGGGCATACGAAAGCTATTACGCTTTAACTAAGATCAATCAATACTTCCTATACCTACCTACGTATTAAAAGAAAAATTAATTTTTAGTTATATCTAAAATATTTAATGCATCTGATATTCAAACCTATAAAGTTTTTAAATAAAACATCTACGCAGGTCAAAACGTACGTTATATTTGGAGTCTACATGTATCACCAAATCCAATTTGCCTATGTACGTCCACCAACCCATAAATATAATTTACCCATTTCTAAATTCTAAACATACTGTTCATTAGGGTGGTTAACGCAAATCCGGGAAATATAACAAACAATTCTAAAAATAAAGGCTCAGCATTTCATTCAAAGGGATTGAGCCAGATTAAAAAATACCTATAAATGTATACCATTGTCAGTTTCAAGACCATATTTTAAAAGTAAATAATATTCATTTAGTATTTATTATAAGAATTATATTCAAACTAAATTAAATAATTATAAAGAGGAAAACTTTGTTTGTATGTTTGTTTGTATAATTGTAATGAATAGGCTCAAAAACTACTGGACTGATTTTAAAACTTCTTTCACCATTCGAAAGCTACATTATCCACGAGTAACATAGGCTATATTTTATTTTGGAAAAAAATAGGGTTCCATAAGATATTTGAGTTTTATGACGCATTTAAAATATTACGATTTCTGCTGCACGGCCCGTTGGAAAGTGGACGTCACCAAGGCCGGGGTGCGCGTGTGTATATTGATCATTCTTTTATAAATGCACAGGATCTTATTCACTAAAAATTATTTATCCATTTAATGGAAATCTTTCTTTTCCGAGTTATATATATTTACTCAAGCTTTAATATAGCAAAGGTTTAGAAACAAACACCATGATATAGAGTTAGGAAGATCTAAAATAAGGTTATACAACAAAATAAACAAGAAAGGGCTTTTAGTTAATGGATATCTAAACCCACCTAAACTAACTTTAGACACACTAAATTTTCTCTAAGGTACACAAAACGAGAGTTTAAAACGGAACAAACGGCTCAACTTTGCTTTTGAAAGAGGGATCAAACTTTAGACCGTTAACAACTCCCTTGGATCATTGACACATCAAAGAAAATACATGTTCGAGACGAGATTTCTCCACTCAGATAGTATAAGATTTACCACAGGGTCCGTAGGCAATAATAAGATACGTGGAAGTATCGTTTGATATTCATCAGCCTGTCCAAAGCTATGTACCAAAGACAAAATTGATATCGTATCGTCATATAATATCATTTTTTTTTTCTGATTGCGTAGACTACATTTTTAAGTGTACTTCTATTAGTTTACCTGTACAGGAGCTAATCCTTTCCCCGAAGTATACGGTCGGGCCCCAACGATAGTCAAATAATCCACCAGCCGCGGACATAGATGTTGTTTCTGAATGTCCATATTTTTGATATGCTCCAATTGCCGAACTCTCTAAGAGTCGGCTTTCTTGTACCCATTATATTTTAATATATTATTGCTTGTCATAATTATCACTTCGTTATTATTCCTGTAACAAATATTTAATTTTAGAAATGGTTATTATCACAATATTTCAAAGCACAAAAAAATTTGATATCTACCCTCAATTTAAAGGGTTTAAATAGATTGGGGCAGTTTGACGCATTTGTATAACCTAATGTGCTGTGTTGACTGTACGTTATAATATGTTATCGCAAATTATTTTATAAAATTTCTAATTTAAACATTAGTTCAACCAGTCACATTATTATTGTGTTAATAGAGGAGAATGGGTATCCTCTTGCCTCTCTCTCTTCATCTTGACCTATTTCAGAGAACGAAACGTCTTGGTCTATCTGATTAACATAGTTCATATTAATAGCGATATGTAACATACAGGAATGGTCATTTTCGATAATATAAAGAGATATCTTGAAACTTTTTAATAATATAAACTGATGTTCAAATAGCGTTTAAGCGTTTTCTGGTAAACAATATTAATCAATATATATATATGTGTTCAGAACGAAGGATTATCACGAATGTGTAATGGCACTGGTGCTTTATCAAATGACGTCATTAGCGTGGGAGGTATCTCTTCTGAAAGTGTTGGCCTAATAAACACATAAAATCATGTAGAATCGTATAAGGATATTAAATTTATAGCGAGAACAAAAAAGTCCGACTAAGTGCATGTCGAGCCATGCGCCATTCCGTACTTGCAGTATACCTATCATCCTATCATATCTGTCTGAATAATGTTATAAATGGAAAAAGTTTGTGAGGAACTATGGATGTATGTTTGTTGCTCTTTCACGCAAAAACTATTGATCGGATTTAGATGAAACTTGGCACAGAAATAGATTATAGGCTGGAATAAACACATGGATTCACTAAACGGTTCCCTTGGGATAAACGTACTGTCAAGTCATTATGTAAACCACGCGAGCGAAGAGCTAGCTAGCTAAACTTTCTATTTTTTCCACAACAAAAAAAGTAATTATCAATTTTAATTGGTAGGAAAATTATTAATTCTCAGAGAACGTTTTATAAAGTCTAAACGTTTTATTTTCTCAAAATAAGTTTAATCCAGCGATTGTATTGTCTGGAGGATATTACATTGTCCAGACCTACTTTAACGACTAATTGGTACTGCATTTTGCGATACATTAAACTTGTTGTTTGCGCGATGATCAATAGAAGGTGTCTGAACCAAAACAATTTTTATCACTTTCCATTAGTTTGTTTTAAATAAAAAACATATTATAAATCTATGTAAAATATTACTATAGTACAACGCACCGAAAGAAGAAACATGTTCGAACTGAATATTCAAATAATTTATTTTATTTGTAGGCATGAATGTTAGTGTACCCATTATAAATTATTTTCCCTATTCTAGTAGCTGTAGTGCCTATCATAATCCACGAACTGGTAGACAGACCTGATGAAATAATAAGGATTCTTTTTTTAACTACGAAACCTTAAATATGTAAAGAAACATTGTGTATAAAAATATACTTATTTATGTAGTTTGGCCATAAAACTGTTAGAATTAAATAAATAAAATATAACTTTTGTATTTAAAATCTGTCAATTCTATAAGATTGTTAAGTCTTTTCTTATTTTCGCACCAATCAATTATATTTTGTAATATTTAAAATGGAGTGGGGTGATAAAGAGACCCGCATTGCTGTGATTGCATTACATAAAGTAGGTATGGAGCCAAACACAATTTTTAAAACCCTCCATTCGCTTGGTATTAGTTAAATGTTTGTGTACCGATCGGGATATTGATAGGTACAATGAAACTTCATCTGTTTGTGACAGAAAAATATCTGCCCGTCCATGTAGTGTTCGTACAAAAAAGGCGATCTAAGGCGATCAGACAGGATTTCTTCGAATTCTTACGCTTACTGTAAGAATTCGAAGAAATCCTGTCCGCAAGCAAAAGATTGTATCTCGAGAGATGAATATGGCACCTAGAACCATGTCGCGTATTTTAAAAGATGACTTACAGCCTTTAAGAGACGTACTGGTCACCTTTATTAGATAATTTAAAAAATAATAAGGTGGTAAAATCAAAACTACTACATAAGCAGTATGCAAAAATTTTGTTTACGAATGATTTTTTTTTTACAATCGAACAATATTTTAACACGCAATAGAACAATATGACTGTATTTATGCCCAAACATCTTAAGAAATTCATGATTAGTCAACAGAGTAACACGTAGGCATTATCCG